ACACCACACTTGTGTGAGAAGACCAGTATAATTACAATAGGGAATTTTTTCCGTAAAAAAAAAAAAAAAAAAAAGCAAAAATTTAACTTAAGGGAAATAGATAAAAACACTTAAGGGGGGGGTGGGGGGAGCGGCATTTTTTTTTTTTTATTTTTCTCTCCCCAAGGGGGGAAAAACCCCCCCCAAGAAGTATATATTCTTACCATTCATTCCTACATTTGTTTCAAGAATCAAATGATACCTAAGGACTTTTCCCAAAACTTGGCTGGCGAAGCATTCAAACACATATTGCTATGCAATGAGATTTGCATAATCCATGGACTAGAATCACATTCCTGGCTAGAGCATATTCCATGCTGACTACTTTGTTTTCTTAACACTCCTTTCATCTACGTAATAATATGGAACTATAATTTAAATTACTTTTTTTTTTCTTTTATTTTTTTGTTTATTGCTTATTTTTTTTTTTTTTTTTTTTTTTTTTTGTTAGCGAATCATCCTGTGAAAAGTGCCACCACCAACTCATTATCTGAATGGTATTGATCATCACATTCAGATAGACCACCTATATATAACGAAACTGTTTAATATTAGTGTTGCTTTTGTATGACTGTTTACCAATGGTGTACATTTATAAGGTGTGAAAAGTTTCTATTTACACAACAATCAGATTCATATTCTTGGTTGCACTGCTCTAGGAGGCTTTTTACCTCTTATTTTGCCACTAGGCTTGCAACTGCACCATTTGTCACAAGGATGAGAAAGTAAATAACAAAAATGGTTGAGCAAATATGCCTTTTTTTTTTTTTTTTTTTTTTTTTTTTTTTTTTTTTTTTTTTTTGGTTTTTTGCGGGGATTGTTTTTTGATTTTTTTTTTTTTTTTTTTTTTTTGTTGGTTTTGCTTTGGTATTGTTTTTGAGATGGTTTAGATGAATTGGTGAAAGAATTTATAAATATAGGGAGATGAGCTCATTAAAAAATGTGAAGGAAAAGACAAATTTGTAATCTTTTTAAATTCAATAATATTGTCATTTATGTAATGTTAATTAATGTTAACATAGCGTATAATGCCCCGTATCAAAACTCTACATAAGTTTGTAAGTATTAGGTAAGGGCATAGCTAGAGGTGTAAAGAAAAAGGACAATTTCGTCATTGCAGGACAAAACAAAGTTAACAATGTTCTGATTATTAATATTTTTAATAAATTTTCTTTTTAAACATATTATTAATATTTTTTTAATAGTTTATCTTATTTCATATTGACAAAAAGTTCTCAAATTATTTATAGATTATTATTTAATTTTTAATTAAAATATAACTAAAATGATACTTTTAAATTCGAAATTGAAATAAAATTATCATAAAAATTTTCATTATTCCCCATTTACATATGTTATATATTATAAATTTTTTATTTAAGAAGGTAAAATCAAAAATTCTGAAAGGTTTAATTTATATATATGTATCTATATCAAAATTAAAAATATATTTAAGAAAGTAATAAAGATTACATAAATTCTAAGAGAGTGAAATATTTTTATGTTTTTTGGTAAATCAGAAAATATGTTTTATGCTTAAGTAACTCATAGAATAAAGCGGAAATGTGGATTATATTTAATATTATATTTTTTATGAACTTATTGGATATATTTTCTTACAACTAATTTTCTAAATAAATTCATACAACTAATTAAGCTTTTCAAAATTTTTAAGTTTTAATTTTTTAATTTTATTTTATTTTTTTTATAATTCATCGGTCCAAATCCTATTACCAGAAACCGATTAAATCCAGTTCGGGAGTTAGTCACGATTAAAGCTCTTCGCCTCTCCTTATAGGTGTATTTAGTGGGAATTGAACCCGATTTGATTTTATTTTATTTAAATAACTATATGTGATATTAAGACATTTGAAAAATTTTTAAGTTTTTCAAATTTATTTTTTAAATATTTGATTTTATTGTTTGATTGTTATTTAAAAATATTTTATTTTAAAAGAGGGATAAAAAAAGAAAAATTATATTATTTTTATCTTTATTTTATTTTATTTTTCTTTTTTTTTTAAATGCATTGGAGGGAATTAAGTCTAATTAAGAAACAAAACGAGGCCAAACGACGCCGGCGAAATCAGCATCAAGGAGCTACTTGACTGCAAAAGAAGGATGATCCAGCAACACATGGCCCTGTTGAACTAGCAAGAGCTTCATTAGCTATGCAATCCACCACAGTATTAACCTCCCTAAACACTGGGATAATCACCACCTGCCACTGCATCCATCAGTGTTTACAACAATCGGAGAATAAGGAAGAGGCTGCCATGAAATAAATGATAAACGAGATCCAGTAGGATTTTCCTTATCAAGACCAAGTGAATCCCAGGCCTTACTAATCTCTAGCGCTTTAGTAAACAAGAAATGCTTAGACACAAAAAGATTGGGCTGACCCCCATTGACGATCAACTCATTCCTTTGCTTCTAGATATACCACAGGGAAGACACAAATAAGATTTTCCAAGCACATATCCCATCATAGACTCTGACTCCTGAATATTTACCCATAGCCATTCCACCACATTACTGATATTGAAAAAATTCCCAATAACACTATCAGCATTCAAAGATCTCCATAAAGCTCGAACATTGTGGCAATCTCGGAGAGCATGTAACGGACCAGATCCACCCTTAAAGATCTCCATAAAGCTCGAACATTAAAAGATCTAAAACATGCTGAGTAAGGATTTCGTTCAGGTATGGCCAGATCCACCCTTCTTGAGACTTCTAGTAGTGACGGACAACCGCTTTACCATCTAGCCGAGTCAAACTACCTTGAGCATACTGAATAAAGGACCACATGGTAACCACCAATCATGCCAGAAGCTAGTACCTATCCCATTCCTCACATCCTTCATAGAAACATTACGCACAACCTCCATTCCTTGACAAAAATACCTTCCAAATGTGCGAGGACCGAATTTTAGGCTTACACTCCGTAGAAAATCGACCAGCCATGTCCTTGCTAGATAAATATCTCACCCATAAAGCATTAGGATTAAAAATAGCTCACCATCCCAATTTACGCACCAAAGCTTTATTCACCAACCGTAGCTTACAAAATCCTGATCCCCCAGCTGACGTGGCTTTTGAATAGTATCCCACCCAATCAAATGCACGCGACAATCAAAATGTTTTCCATGCCACGGAAAATCACAACACAACTTCTCCATCTCATTGCAAAGAGACACAGGGAAGTTGCATTGCATCGAGTAAATTAAAATGGATGAAATAACATATTGAATCAAAGTCGCTCTCCCTGCTAATGAAAGAGCCTTCGCCTTCCATCCCTCCAATTTTTCACACATCTGATCCAAGATGTAAGAATAAGTATGTGAAGAAACACGATCATGGATGGAGGGAACTCCTGAATAGCTCCCCATGTTTCTGTGAGAGGGATCCCTGAGATATCAAAGAGACGGCAGCCAAATCCTGTGCAACATTAGGTGAAACGAAAAATACAAGTTTTGCTATAGTTAACACTTTCGAAAATAAATCAAGAAGCTTCAACAAAGAGAACCATATCATCTGTGAACATTAAATGCGAGATAAAAGGTCCTCTTCAGGAAGTAGGGACTGGAAGCCAATGCTCATCCTGAACAGCACTACGAATAAAAATAGCCAAATATTCAACACACAGCACAAACAAATAAGGCCAACGAGAATCCCCTTGGCGAACTTCTCGAGAAGGAAAAAAAAAAATCCTAAAGTTGTTCTCCATTCCATAAAAAAGACATGGAAGATGACTTGATACACTTCATAATGTTGGAAACCCAGTGGTCCGATAGACCAATATCCTGCAACCCCCATTGAATAAACTCCCAATCAAGACGATCATAGGCCTTAATTGCTATATACCCCTTGTTACCCTTTGCCAGACGCATAGAATGCATAGTCTCCTTAAAATCTACGACATTATCCATAATCTGTCGACCAGGAACAAATCTGCATTTCTATGGTCCTATCAAGGAAGGAAGAATAACTTTGAGTCTATTCACTGGAGTTTTAGTAATAAGCTTGTAGAGCACATTATTGGCCTAAATTGGGAAACAAACTCTGGGTTTTGCACCTTTGGAATGCAAGATGTTAATGACAAAATTACTAATGGAAGAGCCAATTATCGGCCACATGCGTTGAAAAAATGCTGCTAGGTATCCAACCGGCCCAGGAGCTTAAACTGTGCCATATCCGATAGAGCTTTGAAAATTTCCTCGTAAGAAAATGGTTGATCAATATCCACCATATAAGATGCCAAAATAGAGTGAAAATTTTCCTTACAAAGAAGCGATAGGTTCGGCGAACCCTCCTTTGTATATTAACGTGACTTTTAGTTTTGTGTGTTCATAGATAAGAAGGTGAGAAGTTTTATGTACTATGAATCTAGCTAAATATCTTATGAGTTAAACAGTTATTTACTACAAAAAAAAAATAATTTTTAAAATATTATATTATATATAATGAATTTTAGAAGAAATTTCGGAAAATGTTCATATATGAAAAATTTTTAGAAATGCTATTAAGAAATTATTTTTAATAATGAACTATCAGATTTTTTTCCTGATCCTTCCCTCCTTGTGGTTGGAACCAACTTTTTCTAAGCATTAGTACATATTTAGTTATAAATACAACAAAATAAAACAAAAGGTTCACACATTGACTCCAGTTAGTTTGAAATTGAGGCTTAATTATTGTTACTATAACTTCTGATTATCCCATTGGATTAGTCGTATATTCTCCAATTAAATTCATCAAAATTATATATTATCTATGAATTTAACCCGACTAATAAATAATAATTCCTTGGTTGTATTTAAATATAAGGAGGTTATATTGAATGCAAGTGTATAATATATAGATTAGAATAATAAATAAAACGTTTTAACAAGCAATAACACTTATTTATACGTGTATATATGTGGGAATAAAATTATCACAAACAGTAAATTACATTATTAAGCATCGGACCAATATATATTCATCTCTCCCACATTATCAGGATCAGAGATACCTAAGGCTTTCCAAACTGCTGGTGAAGCATCAACAATATTATTAGGGCAAGGAGGTTGATAATCATGGACAGAATCACATCCCATGGTAGAGTCGCACTCATCAACTACTTTAGCCTTGACACTATTTCCATTACCATGTATGGTAATATAATTTAAACACCTTTTTTTATTAGCGAACCATCCTGTGGAAAGTGCAACTACCAGCTCATTATCTGAATGGTATTGATTATCACATTCAGATGGGCCACCACCATCGCCACCCGCAGCAAAACTGTTCAATGTTAGTGTTGCTTTTGTATGACCATTTACTGGTGGTGAACATTTGTAAGTTGTGTAAAATTTTCCATTTACACAACAATCAGATTCATGTTCTTGGTTGCATTGCCCTGGAGGAGGTTTTCTACCTCTAATTTTGCCACTAGGCCTGCAAGTTTGAGATTCTGCACCATTTATCACAAGAATGAGAAAGCAAATCATAAAGATGGTGGAGCAAATTTGCTTCTTCATTTTTTTTTTTGGGTTTTGTTTTTGTATTGGTTTAAATGAATTGATGAAGGAATTTATATAGAGATGAATTGCTTAAATTGATAAGTTTTTTATGTGAAATGAAGACAAATTTGTGATCTTTTCAATTTCAATAATCTTGCCATTCATGTGCCGTTGATATTAACAATGACAATGACCTCTATTCAACCTATATATAAATTTTTACGTAATTCGATAAGATAGAGGTAGAGATGAAAAAACATTAATAAAGAATCAAGTGATAGAATTTAAAATTTTCATATATTTTGTAGATTTCTTTGTTTGAGTGAAAAAATCAAATCCAAGTATCCAACTGATTTAGTTGGATTTTTCGTTTTTTTTATTCGAGTTAATTAAATAGTTTTAATTTTTGAGACTTCTTAAAAATCAAGCCAAATCGGGAAAAAAAACTTTAACTTTTTTTTGCTAAAATTGCAATTAGGGTTGGTTTAGCTTTAAAGTCAGTCAAACTTACTTTTAAGTAGAAAGGCATAAGTTAAAAATTGTATTTGATTTGAATTATAAATTAAACAATCTAACTAAAATAAGTCAAAAGTCATAAGTGAAATATGCCTTACTTGATTATCTATTTATTTTAAGGACATAATATATCAAAATACCTCGAACTTTATGTGTTTTTACAATATCACTCTATTTTAACTTTTTATCGATTTCACTCCAATTTTGAACATTCTAGTAACAACATCCTCAATTTGAATTAAGGATGAAATTGCAAATAAAAAGTCTTTCCATTAGTTTTAAATCATTATGTAACTCTAATAAAAATTTTAAAAATAAACATTTGAAAATAATTCCATTTATCTATATAAATTATGGTTCTGAAATGTTATTTGACTTTCTAAGAATAGTCATGACATGTTGCTAGACAATATACATGACCTTCAAATATTAATTAATTAATTTAATTATATTTGTTGCCAATATATTTGGAACCTAATATGTCACACACTTAAGAATAGATATGAGAAAGTAAAAATCAGAAATTGAATCAAGTATGACTTGATTACAAATAAGTTTTTGGACATTAAGGGTAAAATTATAATTTATATTTAATTACAATTTTACCTAAATTATTAAGTATTGACTTAATTGATTTATGTCTAAATTAATTAAGATAAATTTTAGAGTAAATAAACTTAATATTTTAATTATGATTTATTTATTTAAATAGTTATTTTTACCTAAAATTATTAAGTATTGACCTTAATTGATTTATGTCTAAATTAATTAAGATACATTTTAGAGTAAATTAAACTTAATATTTTTAATTTATGGATTTAAATAAACTTAATATTTTAATTATGATTTATTTATTTAAATAGTTAAATAAATAAATATAATTGATTAAATTGAAAATCCTATTACTATACGTATTACAATTTATTTATTTTAATTGTTTAAATAAATAAATATACACGTATATATTTTAGTCATATTTATTGACATAGAGTTTTCATATATAAGATTTAAGAGACAGGCTCAAGACCGTAGTTGTTGCTCGTAACCACAAAACTAAACATAGATAATATGAAATTAGGCAAGGTCAAGCTAGTTAGAAAGCTGAGATGAATAGTTACTTTTGTATGAAGGGGTCAAAGCTGATTTAATAAGGAAACCATTCAAAAACGGTCGTGAATTCAATAGAGGAAATATGCCTCCTTTATTCAAATATTCTTTTCATTAATTCAAGGATAATTGTTATCTCAATATTTTGGGGAGATATTTTTCTATTCTAGTTTTCTTTTTTAAGTACAGATCATTCTTAGGGAGAGTGGGTCAGTTTTAGTTTTTCTTCTTCGTGCTATTTTATTTTGGAGATTATAACCAATGAACATGAGTGACTAATTTCTCCAAATTCAGTTCAAGGGATTCAAAATTCATATACTCGAGTTATAAGATCAAGTTCTTAATCTTACTTATTTCTTAATTGAATATCTATTGTTTCTTGTATTCCTTGTGTTTAATTTATTGAATGATTTACTAAGAAGGCCTGTTAGTTAATTGTTTGATAATATTAATTGCTAATTCATCTTCATAAGTTGTAATTGTTGTGCAAGATTGAACAATTATAGCAAATAGGTTTTATTGATTATGTCCCGAATTTTCAATAACAACTTATAGAAACAGTAGGGTGAATATAACAATTCATGCGTCATAAATTGTTGTTCAAGCTTAACCACTTTCTACCATTAAAGCTTTTAATAAATTGAAAAGGATTGCTTAATACAAATTCATTTAGTAATTAGAGTCAATTTTGTTTCGGGCTAGGATTAGCATGCATAGAGAAGTTAAGGGATTTATCATGTTGTTTGGTAAGTTTTAGTTAAGTATTCAAAAAGAGATAATTGCATATGTATTATCTGTGATCAATTCATGCATTGGACTATGAATTACTTTGAACTGAATCATTGTCTAGATTGAGTTTACAATTAAAATTTAGTTGTTAATTTCTGAATTCATTTTTTTAGATTAAGTATTGTAAACCAACCTGATAAGTCTTATTTTTATAGTATTTATAATATGGTTTTTTAGTGTGTTTTTTAATGTTTTTAATTACTTTAATTAGTTTTTGTTTAAATTTATTTATATTTTTAATTAAGTTTCCTTGATTCTTGATAAGCTTGATTTGGAAAGTTTTTAGCAAGAAAATAGCTAAAATTTGCATCAAAGAAGATTGGAGCTGAAATTTGGACATAAAAACTCAACATGGTCAAGTCAGTAAAGAACACGGCCTGGCCATGTCAAATGCCATGGCCGTGTTTCCAAGAAAGCTGAAAAATTCAAGTGGGCCGAATTTAATTATTTAGCCCTTGTAGAATTGAAGCCTGGGCATGGCTTGTGCATGGGAATAATAAAAGACTTACCTTGTTTGAGTTCCAGCCCTATTTGGTCAAAGAAGACTGTTGATTGGGAAGCAATACAACACAAAATCAGTTTGCCACTCAAATAATATTTCTTCCTAATTAAGCCAGCTAGTTTCCTACTCAAATTCAAACACACCTTACAAAGTCTATATAAAGAGAGATTACTACACCAATTGGTCATCATCAAATCTTGGATCTTAGATCTTTATTCTACTCTTTTTTTTAGTTTTCTTTCTTTTAAGACTTCGAGCATTCAAGTTTGTGTAAAGAATCAAGAAAGCCATCCAAGCTATTTGTTGACTAATTTTTATCTCTAAACTCTTAATCTTATTTTTACTTTTCATTATTCATATTGATTATGAAATTATTTTCAAGTCTAATTAAGTTTTATTTAATTACTATGTCGAACTAAAGTTTCATACTAGGGATTTGATGTAGCTTAATTTCTATTTCAATATATAATATTAGATTTGATTTTCTTTGTTCAAAGTATAATTTATTATTGAACTTAATGCTTCCAGACAGAGTTTCTTCCTCGGATTGATTTATTTCATTAATCTTTATTATTGAACTTAATGCTTCCAGACAGAGTTTCTTCCTCGGATTGATTTATTTCATTAATCAGTATCGGGAGAAGGTTTTTTGATATGAAAAAGGTAATAAAGTACATGGGAATAATAACTTGATGCGGAAGCTATATGTTTGACTTATGTGGGGTTTTCATAAGTTAACGATCTTAGGTTATGAATTTTAAATAAACCATAAAACTTAATGATTTAATTCATGTTTAATCGCACTATTAGGAGATAGGTAATTAGACCAGGTTAAAATAGTTAACAACACATCGGGAGAGCTTGTTAGTGATTTTAGGGTTGTTTTCTTTACTTGAACAATTAAAATTGATTATCAAACTAATAAAATAAATTGGATAAAATTAAGTAAAATCAAAATCTCTAGTAGCTTTTAATTCTTGATATTTTTTCATCAAATATTCTTACTTGATTTCTTTTTATTCTCCTTTATTTCCTTGAATTTCAATTCTTAGATTATATTCTTCTTATTATCGTTTAAATAATAGTAGGTTAACACAATTTTGGTACTTGGTATACAATCATCGTGGGAACGATACTCTACTCACAATCATCGTGGGAAACGATACTCTACTCATCTCTTTATTTACTTGTTTGCGATTTCGAATACACTTTGCAAATTTGCCTTTCACAACCTCTCCCCCCCCCCCCCTTCCCTTTATCTAATAAAACCATTAAAATTAATATTTCCAGGTCTCTACGACTTCGACCCGCCGAATCCCCCCCCCCCCCTTCCCTTTATCTATAAACATAAAATTTAATATTTCAGTCTCTACGATTCGACCCGAATTTACACTTGCTACGATCTCAGTAATTAATTTTAATGGATTTGACACCCATCAGTCCCCTTATATCACTTTTTTTGTAGTGACTGCTCATATCTAACTTAAAAATTTAAGCTAATAGGTGGAGAGAGACTTATATATATATTATTTATTTCATTCTATTTCACCTACCAAATATTGGCTTACATTATTAGAAACACTCATATCTAACTTAAAAGTTTAAGCTAATTGGTGGGGAGAGACTCATATACGTAGTGTTAATATTTTTCGTATCTAATTTATAATCATGTGCAATCTTTAAACTATAACTTAGACCTTCATGTATTACCAGTGGATATGGATTAATAGACATGTTATACTTGAGTGGCAGAAAAGTAGTAAAACAAAAAAACTGAGTAGAGTAGCACATATGTCAAATCTTATTAACACAAGGTGGTAGATGTCATGGTAGAGTTGAATCTAATATCATATTTAAAATTCTCATATAAATTTTTATTCAGTGTTGACATATGTAATTGCAAAATTAATAGCTTTTGGTTCAAATATTTCTTTTGTATTAATAATGATATGCAGGTGGTGCTCCTAACTACATTATATATTTATAAACAAACATAAAAAATAGAATGATGATTACATTCTATAAATTTTTTCAATTAAATGACCAAACATAATAATGGACTATATTTTTCATTGCATTATATCTTTGACTACATTAAATTGCATTACATTCAATCAAACATAGCTTTATATTTATATGATACACACATGCACACACACACACACACATATATATATAGGTTAAATAAAAAATTTAAACATCAGACCAGTATATATTCATCTCTCCCACATTGTCAGGATCAGAGATACCTAAGGCTTTCCAAACTGCTGGTGAAGCATCAACAATATTGTTAGAGGAAGGAGGTTGATAATCATGGTCAGAATCACATCCCATGGTAGAGTCACATTCATCAACTACTTTAGCCCTAACACTCTTTCCATTACCATTTATGGTAATGTAATTCAAACACCTTCTTTTGTTAGCAAACCATCCTGTGGAAAGTGCAACTACTAGCTCATTATCTGAATGGTAATGATTATCACATTCAGAAGGGGCGCCATCGTCGCCGCCGGGAGCAAAACTGTTCAATGTTAGTGTTGCTTTTATATGACCAGTTACTGGTGGTGAACATTTGTAAGTTGTGTAAAATTTTCCATTTACACAACAATCAGATTCATGTTCTTGGTTGCATTGCCCTGGGGGAGGTTTTCTACCTCTAATTTTGCCACTAGGCCTGCAAGTTTGAGATTCTGCACCATTTATCACAAGAATGAGAAAGCAAATCATAAAGATGGTGGAGCAAATTTGCTTCATGTTTCTTTTCTTTTTTTTTTTTTTTGGTTTTGTTTTTGTATTGTTTTCGTAGTGATCTAAATGAATTGATGAAGGAATTTATATAGAGATGAGTTGCTTAAATTGATAATTTTGAAATGTGAAATGAAGACAAATTTGTGATCTTTTCAATTTCAATAATATTGCAATTTATATACGGCATTGTCAATGCTAACACAACATACAATGACCACTATTAAAACTCTATATAATTTTGTAAGTGCTTGAGTTAGGTATAAGTAGAGGTGGGAAAAAAACAAAAAGAAAAAATTAATAAAGTATTAAGTAATAAATTTAACATTTCATATATTTGCTTGATTTCTTTGTTTAGGTGAAAAAAATCAAATAAAATCAATCTAGTTCAATTTTTTGGTTTAGTTTTTGGAGTTAATTGGTCCGATTCGGTTTATGATTTCTGGTTTCATTTGATTTAAAAAATAAGTTTAAATTGATAGTATTGATTTTTTATAGTGTTTTTATTGTAATTTTGATTTAAATTTCTATTACTTTTAATTTATTTAAATTAGTTTTTATGTAATATTGATACTATTACTTTTAATTTATTTAAATAGGTTTTTATATATGAATATGTTTTTATTCAAAAGCTTTTCTTTAATCACAACCTCACTTTGATTGGAAAGAAAATTGGTGGAGACTTGATTGGAAAGAAAATTGTAGGATTTTGCAAAGAAAAGAACAAAAATGAAGCAAAACACAATTGGCACGCCCCAGCCCGTGTCGAGAAGCACGGCCGTGTCTGGCACAAGGCGAGACAAACCAAAGAGACAGAAAGATGCACGCACCAAGCCGTGTCGAAGAGCACGCCCGTGCGCGCTAGCCTGCCCAAGCCGTGCTGAGGAACACGCCCGTGTCTCACATGCCCCTGACTTCCAGAGAGATGCACGCCCCAGCCCGTGCTATGTAGCACGACCGTGCGCGCTATCAACCAGACTTCTAGAAGACTGCACGGCCAGACGGCACGCCCGTACGCGCTAGCTTACCAGGCCGTGCCAGGCAACACGGCCCGTGCCAAAGTTTCTAAGACTTTAAAGACTGGCACGCCCCAGGTCGTGCCAGGCAACACGCCCGTGCAAACCAAAAATTCTATATTTTGAGTCAAAAGTTGCCAACTAATTTCTACCATTGTCACAAGATGCTTTGGATGCTTTCCTCACATGCTAGTCAAAGTTCAACCATGTGCAATTGAGAAAACCATAATTGAGAGCAATTCATGGGAGAAAACCATAATTGAGAGCAATTCATGGATTGATTTACAACTTTTCCACCTCACAAAGTTGAACTTTACTCATTAAAACACAAGGCTTGTCCCCCCAAGAAGTCTATATAAGGAAGAGAAGGAACCACTCCAAAGGCATCCAGCAATTCCATCTTTCCCACACTCTACATTAATTCTTTTATAGTTAGTTTCATTTTCTTTTAAAGTTAAGTATTGAAGAGTTCTCTCTCCAAGACTTCAAGTATTCAAGATTCAAAGAAGTCATCCACGTTATTTGTTGACTAGTTTTTATCTCTAAACTCTTAATCTTGTTTTTACTTTTCATTTTTCATATTGATTATGGAATTATTTTTAAGTTTAACTGAGTTTGATTTAATCACTATGTCGAACTAAAATTCTCATACAAGGAATTTGATGTAGCTTAATTTCATTTTCAATTTATAATATTAGATTTATTTTTCTTTGTTCAAAGTATAATTTATTATTGAACTTAATGCTTCCAGACAGAGTTTCTCCCCTAGATTGATATATTTCATTAATCACCATCGGAAGAAGGATTTTTGATATGAAAAGGTAATAAATTACATGAGAATAATAACTTGATGCGGAAGCTACATGATTTGACTCATGGAGGTTTTCATAGGTTAATGACCTTAAGCTATGAATTCACAAAACAAACCGTAAAACTTAATGATTTAATTCATATTTGATTGCGCTATTGAAAGATAGGTAATTAGACCGGGTTAAAATAGCTACTAACAATACCATCGGGATAGCTTGTTAGTGCATTATTTGGCAGTTCGTTTCGTGCATACTTGAATATTAACATTGATCAAAATGAACTACATGGAAATAAATTGGATTACAGTGTTAAGTGAAAATCCAAAACCCTAATAGTTTTACTTCCTTGCATTCTTAATTAATTAATTGCTTGCCTTAACTTCTATATTTTTACTTGAATTGAATTTAATTTCTATTAAACAATTTACTCAATCTTACTCCGTTTAAATAATAACAAGATAACATAATTTTGGATACTTGGTTTACAATCCCTGTGGCATACGATACTCTTACTCACTCTATATTACTTGTAGCGAATTTCGTATCTCACCACTTGCAGAAATAAGCTGTCACAACGTTATATATGGCGCGCGTTGCCGGGGAGAGGAATTGAAGTTTTTGGCGCCGTTGCCGGGGATTGGCAATACCAATATCAATACGAATTATCTTGTTATTAATTTAGACATTTACTTATTCATTTTAGTCATTTAATTTCGCTATAAACCATCTCAGGTTTTATGCAAAGAAGATCTAGAAGAACAGAACCCCTGATCTTTGATCCAGAAATAGAAAAAACCTGCAGAAGAAACAACGCAGCAAGGAGGGCACAAGAACCCAGATCCGAACAACAAACAAACATGGACGGACTTAATCCTCAACTTCCAAATATACCTCTTGCTGCAAATCCTCAAGCCATACAGCAGCCAAATGAATGAACACTGTCCGCACATTGCGAGATCAACTTTATAACCACACACTCTCTCTTAAATGGCTAGCCCCCTCCAGCATCAACTAGACAAAGAGTGGAGACACAAAAAATTTTTGAAATTACCACCACAATCCATTACAAATGCTTTCTACTTCTATTCAATAATGGAGGACTTCCTAGTGAAGATCCTAATGCTCATATCACTAATTTCCTGGAACGATATTTTGTGACACTTTTCAAAAACTAATTTCCTGGAAATTTGTGACACTTTCAAACAAAATGGTGTTTCTGAAGATGCCATTAAATTAAGACTCTTTCCTTTTACTCTAAGAGACAAAGCCCGATCATGGTTACAATCTTGTCCTGCTGGGAGTTTTACCACTTGGGAAGAATTAGCCCAGAAATTTCTGGCTAAATTCTTTCCATCTTCTAAAACAACTAAACTAAGAAATGAGATTATGACCTTTGCTCATCAGGATCAAGAAAGCTTGTATGAGGCTTGGGAAAGATTTAAGGATTTGTTGAGGAAATGTCCTCATCATAGCCTGCCCAAATGGTTACAGGTCCAAACTTTCTATAATTCATTGTCACCTAACATAAAAATTACTCTGGATGCAGCTGCAGGAGGGTCCTTCGAAAGAAAAGAGATCGACGAGGCATATAATTTGATAGAAGAAATGGCCAGCAATAGCCATTATCAAAGCAGCTCTGAAAGAAAAAAGACTGTTGGGATTTATGAGATTGATGCCATCACCGCACTAAATGCAAAGGTTGACAACATGGTAAGAAAGTTAGATTTGTTAACCACTAAGTCTGTAAATTCTATCATGCAAACTTGTGACAGATGTAATGAAATGTAATGAACCGCAATGGAGTTGGGAGCAATGCTTAGTTAGATTCTGCCTAATCACACTCTGGCAGCAAGTGGAACTATGTGCATGAAACCAACAGAGGAGGAAATTACCCATATTTGAAATCCTACGATAACAGGTTGAGAAATCATCAGAACCTCTCATATGGTAATTCTAACCAAACACTTTAAAATGCACCACAGGTTTTCTTGCCTCCAGAAAAGAAGTCTCATGATGACCTCCTTACTGCCTTCCAAATCACAACATGGATTTCATGAACGAAACAAGAGAACATAATAAATCCAACAAGCCTGCAATAAGAAATCTGGAATTCAAATGGGACAGTTTGCAAAAACATGAATGGGCAGCATACGACCTCAACGGTACACGTTACCTAGCAACAACAGAAAAAAATCCTAAAAGAGCAGGTACACAGCCCATCACCTTGAGGAGTGGAAGAGAATTGGAGACAAACTAGGAAAAGAGAAAAGAAAAGGAGAAGGTAGGAAGAGAAAAGGCTCCTATCATCGATCTACGTGGAAAAGGAAGAGTAAAACCGTTATGTTTCCACGCCCATTCCATTTCACAAAGAACAAAGATTAAAAAAGACGCAAGATGATCAAAGCTTCATGAAATTCCTGGACGTCTTTAAGAAGCTTCAAATAAACATCCCCTTTGCTGAAGCTCTTGCTTAAATGCCTAGTTATGCAAAATTCCTAAAAGAAATCCTGAGCAAGAAAAGAAAGATTGATGATCAAGGAATGGTAAAACTGACTGAAGAATGTAGCGCAATTATTCAAAACAAATTGCCGCCAAAACTCAAGGATCCAGGGAGTTTTTCTATCCCCTGTAATATTGGAAATTTAAACTTTGAAAAGGCTTTAGCTGACTTAGGAGCTAGCATAAATCTGATGTCTTATGAAGTTTTTAAAATGCTAGGTATGGGGGAGCTCAGCCAATAAAGGATGTCGCTTACAACTAGCCGATCGATCATCAAATATCCCCAAGGAATTGTTAGAGGACGTATAGTTAACGGTTAGGAAACATTCATTTTCCAGTTGCTTTAGTTGATTTTGTCATCCTTGATATTGATGAAGGAAGAGAAGGATCATTAATCCTCGGAAGACCCTTTCTTGCAACTGCAAGAGCTTTAATTGATGTGCACGATGGGAAACTGACATTGAGGGTAGGTCAAGAAGAAGTTGTTTTTGATGTATTAAAATCTTGTAAATTTCCCATGGACACTGACGATTGTTTTAGAATAGATGTAATAGATACATGTGTAAATAAAACTCTATATAGCATAAATACTACAGAAGAAAAAGAAAAAGAAGATACACCACCTAACCAAGACTTGAAGCAGCTTCCCCCTCATTTGAAGCATGCATTTCTAGGTGAGAACAATTCTTTTCCTGTTATTATTTCCTCTCACTTAACGCTTGATCAAGAGGAAGGGTTGTTGCAGGTTCTTCGAAAGCATAAAAAGGCAATAGGATGGTCAATTTCTGATTTACAAGGAATAAGCCCAAGTAGGAATAAGCCCAAGTGTGTGCATGCATAAGATCCTAATGGAAGACGACTACAAACCTTCAATCGAACATCAAAGACGTTTGAATCCGAACATGAAGGAAGTGGTAAAGGCTGAAATCATAAAACTCCTGGACGCCGGCATTATCTATCCAATCTCCGATAGTAGTTGGGTAAGTCCTATTCAAGTGGTGCCAAAGAAGGGAGTTATGACTGTTATTTTTAATGAAAGCAATGAGTTAATTCCCACTAGAACAGTCACGGGATGGCGTGTGTGCATTGATTACAGAAAATTAAACAAAGCAACACGTAAGGACCATTTTCCCTTACCCTTTCCTTACCTTTATTGATCAAATGCTTGAAAGAACTTGCAGTTATCCTTTCTACTGTTTCCTTGGACGGTTATCTCCGGGTATTTTCCAAATACCCATTGGCTCCAAGAAGATCAGGAAAAGACTACTTTCCTTGTCCCTATTGGCAACACTTTTGCCCTATAGGAGGAATGCTTTCGGACTATGCAATGCTCCTGCAAACTTTTCAAAGATGCATGATGTCCATCATTTTCTGATATGGTCGAAAAATCCATTGCAGATATATTCATGGATGATTTTTCTGTATTTGGTTCTTCTTTCGATGCATGTCTTTATAATCTATCTTTAGTAATGCAACGATGTGAAGATACTAATCTTGTATTGAATTGGGAAAAATGTCATTTCATGGTTAGTGAAGGTATTGTCTTGGGACACAAAATCTCTCAGCAAGGAATTGAAGTAGACAAAGCCAAAATCGAGGTAATTGAAAAACTACCTCCTCCTAACTCAGTGAAAGGCATAAGGAGTTTTCGTAAGGGGAGTGAGAAGCTTCCTTGGCCATGCTGGTTTTTATAGGAGATTCATCAAGGATTTCTCCAAAATAACTAAACCTCTTTGTAATTTACTTGTTAAGGATGTTCTTTTTGATTTTAACAAAGAGTGTTTGAATGCCTTTAATAGATTAAAAAGGGAGTTGACATCGGCACCGATCATTTCTACACCAGATTGGAGTCACCCCTTTGAGCTTATGTGCGACGCAAGTGATCATGCCGTTGGAGCTGTTCTCGGACAAAGAAAATAAAAGAAATTGCACATTATTTATTATGCTAGCCGCACACTAAATGACGCACAATTAAACTATGCAACTACAGAGAAAGAGCTCCTAGCTATTGTGTTTGCTTTTGATAAATTTAGAGCCTATTTAATTGGAACTAAAACAATAGTCTACACCGATCACTCTGCCATTAAATAACTGTTAGAGAAGAAAGACGCCAAGCCAAGACTAATCCGTTGGGTTCTTCTCTTGCAGGAATTTGACTTAGAAATTCGTGACAAGAAAGGAATCGAGAATCTGGTAGCAGATCATTTATCCAGGGTGGCTGATCACCTTTCCAGGTTAGAATTAGGAGAAGAGGATGCAACCGAGCTACAAATCAATGAGAGTTTTCCTCATGAACATCTTCTGCTAATAACTCAAACTCCCTGGTATGCTGATATAGTCAATTATCTTGTTTGCAAAATCGTTCCCCCCAATTTTCTTATCAACAGAAGAAAAAATTCTTCCATGATATCAAATACTACTATTGGGAGGAGCCATTTTTGTTCAAGTACTGTAGTGATCAGCTATTCCGGCGGTGCATACCGGAAGGTGAAATGGAAAGTGTTCTTAAATTCTGTCATTCAATGGAATGTGGAGGACATTTTGGAGCAAACAAAACAGCAGCACGTATTTTGGAAAGCGGTTTGTAAAGCGGTTTGTATTGGCCTAATCTATTTAAAGACACTTTTAACTATGTACGTCTTTGTGATCGCTGTCAAAGGTTAGGCAACATTTGAAGAAGACATGAGATGCCTTTACATAGCATTCTTAAAGTCGAAATCTTTGATGTTTGGGGGCTGGACTTCATGGGACCTTTTCCATCATCATACTCAAATCAGTACATCCTCGTGGCAGTGGATTACGTGTCAAAATGGGAAGAAGCTATTGCCCTTCCCAATAACGATGCCAAAAGTGTAATGAGCTTCATCAAGAAATACATTTTCACACGGCATGGTACCCCGAGGGCCATAATCACCAATGGAGGTAAGCATTTCTGTAACAAGTACCTTGACTCACTACTTTCCAGATATGGCGTTACACATCGTGTAGGTACTCCTTATCACCCTCAAACAAGCGGACAAGTAGAAGTCACGAACCGGGATATCAAAAAGATATTGGAAAGCGGACAAGTAGAAGTCACGAACCGGGATATCAAAAAGATATTGGAGACAACAGTTGGCCAATCAAGGAAGGATTGGTCCAAGAAGCTCGATGATGCTCTTTGGGCCTATAGAACTACATTCAAAACACCAATTGGCATATCACCATATCGAATGGTATACGGTAAAGCTTGTCACCTTCCTGTCGAGATGGAGCACAAGGCATATTGGGCAATCAAATTTCTTAATTTTAATACTAAAGAAGCTTGTCAAAAGAGGTTGCTTCAATTGAATATGATGGATGAAATGAGGCTCCACGCTTATGAAAATGCCAAGGTCTACAAAGAACGCACCAAACAATGACATGATAAGCATATTATTTTGCGGAATCTTAGGGTAGGTCAGCAGGTATTACTCTACAACTCTAGACTTCGTCTTTTTCCAGGAAAACTGCGCTCGAGGTGGTCCGATCCCTTCACTATTAAAGAAATTTTCCCGCATGGAGCAGTAGAGATAATGGACAGTGACCGCAGTTTCAAGGTTAATGCTCACCGACTGAAGGTCTACCAAGGTGAAAATTTTGATCCAGTTAAAACCATTATAAATCTTGAGTAAGCTCTAATCAGGTTTGGAACGTCGAACTTAACGACGTTAAACAAAAGTGCTTATGGGAGACAACCCATTTTTTTATGATGATTATTTTATTTTATGAGTTCGTATTAACTTTATTTATTTCTTTATAGTTGCCAAAAGGTTGAGATAATCTTGGTGTGTAACTTAGCTAGCCTATCCAAAAAAAAAAAAAAAAAAAAAATTTTACACGCCTTAGACCGTGCAGAGTCGCACGCCCGTGCTAGGTGAGATAAGTACCCTGCAGGACACCCAGGGAAGTGCACGCCTCCGACCGTGCAGAGTCGCACGCCCGTGCCCGCACGCGT